CATATTGCTTGCCTTGGGTGCAAGGAATGCAAGTTTCAATGAACACCTCCAACCAACAGCAAGCTTCTAATAGTTTTTCATGCAAAAGAAACTTGTAGAAGCTAACCAAGCTTGTAGAAGCTCACCAAGCTTGTAGAAGCTAACCAACTTTGCCTGAAATTGGCTATAGACCTGCATGTGCAGCTGAGAAGCAAATGAAATCAAGATACTTCAGCAGCTTGAAGCTCTCGCCTCCAGCAAACCTGGACACAAAGTCACCAATGGATCTGATGTAGGCCTTGCAAGGTGGAAGGCTGGAGGCAGCCTGCTGCACAGCTTTGTCCAAGTCTTTCTGCCCTGGAGCTTGCAACTCATAGTGCTGCGCAATTGTCATTGCAACCTCCAATTCTGTAGGAGGCTTCACAATTCCATGGTCACCTGTGAAGGGTGCCATGCATACATTGAGAACTCCACATATGGGAACATTGCCAGAACAAGTTTTTCATAAAAAGATACTTGCCAACCAAGTGGCTGTTGTAGGCCTGCTGAAGCAAATTAGGGAGAGATGGACACTTTTCTTATAAAGCCTTGGCTGAAATAATTGTCCACTGCCATCCACTTTGCAACATCTCCTGTAGGTCGCCTCCTTGTGCAATGAGCTGCTCCATGGACAACTGGTCATTGCCCATTCTGCAGCCACTTTCCAAGCACCTCAGGAAGGCTGTCAAGTGGGAAGAACTCAGGCTGCAATATCTCTCTTCTCCAAAAGGTCTTGCCAACATGCCAGACCTTTGGTCAGACAGCTTTTCATTTGCTGCTATCACTGACCTTCTCTTGCCCACATCATGAGGCATCTCAATTGCCACAGACTGTCGAACTTTGTTCAAGTCCCATCCAACTGCTGAGATCTGCTGGCCTTTGCTCACCACATCATGGGGGTTAACCATTTGGCCACCTCTGTTTGCAACATGAACCAGGATTTCCCTGGGCTTTAGCTTGGCATTGTAAGCTAAGCCTGCACTCTTGAGCACACTCATAGCTCTTGAGGCTTTCTGGTTGATCTGCATTTCCTCATCTTTGATGATC